GCATTTTTTTCAAAGTATTACATATTAGTCGATATGGACTGGACACTTCTGTTATTATATGTATATTGTATCTAACCTATATATATATATATATATATATATATATATATATATATATATATATATATATTATTGTATGTAGTGTGTGACACTTTAATAATAAAAATACTACTACTTTATACCAGTAATTATACTAATTCCATTTATATTACACAAAGATGACTAATTGTACAAATATCTATTAATCACATCAATTCATGTATATTGGGCTATTTCGTGGAGTATATCCCTGTCCCCTACATGTACATGGATCGTTATTAATAATTAATATGACGTCATCAAAAGGTAAAGGTGTTTCTTCCTGGTAATTAGCACCTGTAGGCAATAACCCCATGTACATATCTACATACATGTACCAATATATCATACTTCACTAGTCAATAAACTCATTAACATAATCTATATACCACGGTAATTTATCATACGTCACTAATTAATTATATATATGATATATACATATACATATATATATATATATATATATATATATATATATCGCTTTCTATTTGATCTGCTTCGTGCGAGTATTTTTTTTCTTTATCCGCGATCTAAATTTGCCTGTAATGTACATGTATATTCCTATAATAATATGAATAATTTAAGTGTTAAGCTCTTATCATTTTACGGATACTTCAAAAGTATGTGTCTGGCGATCTTGGGAATTGGTGGAGATATTACCTGTGTTTGCGACTACTATATAGCCTTGAAATACCAAGAGAGAGAGAGAGAGAGAGAGAGGGGGAGAGAGAGAGAGAGAGGGGGGGGGGGGTACTACCTATGAAAAATAACATAACACTCGAAAGCGTCACCAAAAAGGTGCGAAATGTATTTGTTATTTTGAAATACCTTATTATTCCCATTCCGTCCTGAAACACAATTTAAAACAAATAGAAGCCCGACTAATTCAGTCCCACTTGCAAAACTAAAAGAAGAAAATACTGAAACCCAATGCACTCGTCTTCTGTAATACCCAGCCACATAATTAAAATTCCCTGATCATATTAACAGTAATAAGCCGCTTCAGGCCAATAAATTAAATCTGTATTGAACTAGGCTAATTACTGACACACAGTCAGAAAATCTATTCAATTCACCAACGCTTAATTCAATATATAAACAAGGCCAGATAAAAATAAACAAACCGAATATTAGTCAATAAAATACATCACGAGAATTTAAATTATGGGTTAAATATTCAATTTTAAATGGCAATGTTAAATTTTTGTTTTAGTCTATGCTTAATATTAATTTTAGAAATTTACGCTTGAGATTCCATTAACTAATTGAATATAGAATAGACGGTTTTGGAGTCTTTTAAACTGTCGAATATGAGTGCAGAAGGATCGCACTGCTCACAATCAAAACCGATAAGACATACCGGCGTTCAAGACATACCACTAAGTTAAAACCAAGTTTCATTTTTCCATATAACTAGTAAATCCCTCTCAAATATGGGCCTCATAAAACTATGTTACGGACTCGTGGAATATCATCCCACAAAACTATGGTAGACAATGTACACTGGTGGAATATTTCAACATAAAACTATTTTATAGACCCTATGAATATTGAAACATAAAACTATAAAACAGAAACTATAAAACCATGGTATACAATGTACACTGGTGGAATATTTCAATATAAAACTATTTTATAGACCCTATGAATATTGAAACATAAAACTATAAATCACAATAGTAAAACTGAAATAGTTAACTATTCATCTATCTCGGAAATACATGTTAGCAATAACGAGCATACTCTGTATAGTACATGACACCAGTCAAATCCACATTTAAATGTGGCACCAGTTTAGATTTAATTTTGTGTATACCTTGGCACAAAGTTGTAACATGTATTACTAAATAAACATAAAAGATCCTACCAAAGTGTGTATACGTTCTATACCATCCCATTCTCAATAAAAATCCAGCTTAGTTTGTATAGTAAAACAGGTGTTATACATAAACATTAAATCGGATTTTCACAATTTATACAAAAATAGCCGAAAAATATATTTATAAATTAATCTTTGAACCTAATTTAATCTGAATTAAGAAATCCTTTTTAGGCATCAATATTATATATATATGCGAATTGTTCGGACAGAGTGTTCGTTAATAAAAAATATAAAAGCAAAAAGTTAGTTCCAGTTGTCAATATCGGATAAACAAAATTATTTTGCGCGAGTTATACAATGCGCAACAAGCGTTTCGAAACAAAACACAAAGTTTACTTTAAAGGCTCAATACCACTCTTGTTGTAACTGAATAATACGTCCCAATCTTTATTCTGGTCAACAAATTGTACTATTTTACAATATCCCAATTAATTGATGATACAAATTTCATCTTAACACACCTAATTTAAAAAAATTGGAAAAATTCAACTAAATGATTTGAAAAGCCTGACGTAAAGCTTTTTAAATGTGACTTGGATTTAAAAATATTTTTGAACCCTCTGGACAAGTAAAATCGGATTTAATGGATAATTTACAAAACAGGTAGGACACTAACACATCTAGTACTTAGAATAAGGCTATTTTATATTTTCTGGTGCTGTCAAGCTAGCAATAGTGTTATTGTTCCTTTAAGTTACGTTACCCTGATAAACAGGATACAAATTATGCATAATTATTACTCTCATTAACGCGAATAAACTATATTTTACTCTTGTTTATTTGTGTTGATATATGGTTGATAACAACTTGTGAAATCTTGTTAAAACGTCACAGTGTAATAAACCATAGTAATTATTATCAATCAACACTGTTTTATTTAAATATATACTGTAAAGTTTGTCTTTACCGGATGAATACAAATAGGTAGGTTATCAGTTAATAAAAACAGGGGCTATAAATTATGTTTCCAGTGTTAATAGAAACAAAAAAAAATGAAACATAGAAAACATAGTTTGAATATGTTATTTTTTATGTCGTGATACCCTTTGTTATAGTTATATGACCATATAAAGTATTATTCTGTGAATATATATTCATTGGAAAATAAGCTGGAAGGTTAACAGAATTATGGAAACAAATGTATCCGACCTACAATTTTAAACTTTCAACTCTTTTCTCCTATTGAAACGGAGACCCGAAACCAAACCATAATAACCATAATATATCTTTATTTTTTGTGGTAGGGGTTGGGGCAATATTGGATACCTCTAGTCAAAGAGCACTCCCCATTAAGCAAGAATTTTTAAATTTCCTTTGGGTCATGCTTAATACAAGTTCTACTGTATTATCTTCTTTACTAGATAAAAAAAAATTACTGTTCTTTTCAATTTAAGAGTTGTTCTTGAAACATCAGATAGTAAACTAATTCGGGAAATTATTGGCATTAAGAGTTGTTCCTAATATTCGGAACATGGTTGTCATACGCCCGGGGTCTGACTTTCTTCTTTTACGATTTATCTTGTGTATCCTAGTCATAATCTTTAACTTAATGGAAGAATTCTAAACAATTTAGTACAATATGTTTATAAAACATGGAGGATATGGTATAATATATTTGATTGATATTTGAAAATTATGGCGGATATTTTCCATTATATACAAATAATTGACAATAACATTTTAAAATATTTGGGGCAGATATTTTAAAGTTTGTTAGTCAGGTCGACTCCACAAATAAATGAGGACTGGTTTAATAAGAGAAGGTATGACTGTCCTCAAGCACGACACTCATTAGGTTTCGTTTGGATATTTTTATCCTTGAAAATACATATATAACTTGACAGTTGTCGTACACGTGGAAAACGATGCATACTCTTATCATGACATTATTATGCGATTACATGGCTGATTTTTATATCTTAATCGCAAAGTTTTCAATATCCCAAAATAATAGTTTTAAAACGTTATTGTCAAGTATTGGTATGCATACTGGAAACTGGTTGGTATGTTACATCATTTACAGTTGCTACAATTTTCAAATATCAATTAAATATAATGTATTGTTTATAATTTGTTTGTTTAATATGCTGGAATCATTGTGATATTATATATATAAGTATCATTGAAATTAAGTATGTATCAAATTTGTTTTGCATATACAAATAGTTGTGATTTTATTGTTAGACATCTTGAAATCATTGTTTGAAATATTTCTAATAATTATTGTTGATCTATAACCATATCGTTTTGAATGGGTTTTTTTTTTCATTTTATTTATTTGTGTTGATACATGTTTGATAAGAACTCGTGAAATCTTGTTGAAACGTCACAGTGTAATAAACTATAGTAATCGTTAACCATAAATAGTGTTTATTTAATTATGTCCGAACTACACATCCAAAGAATATATTGTTTAACATAATCAAATCATTGATGGAAATATTTATGTCTTGTGATATAAAATTATTGTCATAAAATATAATTGTGATCGTTTAAAATAAAATTATTATGTAATTATATAATTGTTTATCAATATGAAGTTTTTAGGAATTTATTGCAATTTGATTGTGTAGCATTGAGAATAGAATATGATATGAAATATTTGATTTGTTAGCATTGAAAGCCTAAATAAAATGTTGATCATATTTACATGAACGTAAGTGAGAAAAATATAAGATGTTTTGTTTAGATATTGATGTAATTTAGAGTATATTAATAATTGCACAAATACAATAACAGATATTTAAAAATCCACGCTCAACAGCAGTACTAAAACAGGTTGAAATGAGAGGTGATTTATTTATCTTCATAACGTTTCAAGTTAAAATACCCTTTATCATTTGATTGTGTTAAATAATCATGTGACGCCTTTATATATAAAATGGGATTTATAAAATAATATTAATGTCTACTCTCTCCGCCGACATCATAGTTTGATCCAGCAGCTACACAGATCTACCTCTGCTACGTCTCAAGGAAGTGTTACCCCCCCCCCCCACAAACTCGTCTCCTAAATTTAATAATAATAATATTAGTTTACCTTCTAAGAATTTATTCCTGTTTATCATATCTGCTATATTATTGGATTGAGGTGAATTACAACCCTGATCGTCTCCCATCATCACGAACGTTCCACTCCGACAAACAGACATAGGGGATTACTACTTCCTGCTACTATACGGCTTCGTGTTTTTACTGTCAATCCTTCCAAATATCTCTTTTTACACCTCGCTACGCGTCGCACTCTGGTTATATATAATTATCTCAATATTCAGTTACTATAGTAAAGTTTTTCGCAATTAATAAATGTTGTAATACCGAGCAAGTAAAAGTTTATGATACTTGCAAGTATTCAGTTATAACGTGGTTAGTTTTGACAAGACACACAATAATTTGTAAAATAAATATATATTTTTGGCGACAAATGCAACAATCCAATCTCTTTATCAAGTGAATTATGGATTATTTTTCCAGGATGTTGTTCATTAGTTAATTAAATCTGACGTCCATTTGATTAAAAATGTCAATAAAGATATGACTCGATCTGTCAGCGAATTCTGTAGTTATTATTCCACACAGATGATATAACAATTCAGGTATTTATGAGACGTAGAAATTATTAAAGTCCTTTCAGCTTTTCCAATAATAAAAATATTGTCTTCGGTTGAGCACAACTGTAGAATGTCTTGTACTCTGATGATGGTATAGACTATATTCTACGTACACCCATCACGTTACTCGTCATCCGTTTATTTCATTACAACATCCACTTCACTACTCGCTAAAACCTTCCATAGGTCACGTGATCCCAACTCATTAATATTCATGACTTAATGTAGTCGCTGTTGATTTGTCCAGTATTGTTTGCTATGATTGTTCTATTTCTCACTTGAATTCGCCGTGCCCCCCCCCCCCCCACACACACACACATCCCGTGCCTACACTATTTTCTCATATTTATTTAGTCCTAGATATGAATTAAGTTGTTTTTTTAGTTTAAAATCAGTGTAAAACATCAAGTATGTCTATTCATAAAGGTAAACAAAGCCACGCAGCGCTTGTGTCGACTCCGCCCATTATCACGGTGACAGTCGCGTGGGGGTTGTACTATTATCATTCTATTCAGCTCGCGTGGACCTGTTCGAACTAAGTCGCGTGCAGGTTAAAGGGGTAGCAGACGATTTAGCAGAAGTGAGTGTGTGTTTAGTGACCTGAGTCTATTGTATATTTGTTTGTTATTCCGAGAGAAAGATGTTTACCTCTCAAATATTTCACTTCTCATTTCTATACAAAATACTCTCCAATTTTGACTTAATACGTTACAGCAAACAAAATGAGCAATGGATGCCCAACTGGCGCCTGCGCTCTGTATCAATATAATCAAATAAAATGTGCTATTAAATGAGAACTGATTTAAAAATGTCGATTTGTCTTTCCTCCGTAAATAACGGTAAATTTAAGTTGTCGTCGTCTGTCCATTTTGTCTTTCGTACCAATGAATATAGGATGAGGTCTAAAAGTCAAGACCTATAGCAGATTTCGTCATAGGTCACGACAAATAATTAGGGTAAGGACACGAGTTAGGGTTAACCCTAACCTACAATCTCGTCAACAATCACGTGCCCTAACCCTATTTACATCTCGTGACCTATGACGAAATCTGCTATCGGTCTTGGCTTTTAGACTTTAGCAACGAGTATATATTTTGGAAAATACTGCGCATTCGGAAGAATACAGTATATGTTTTATATCCCGTTGTGCTCGCAACCACAGGGTATAATCCCCGCACGTATTATAGTCATGGGGACAGTTAGTCACCGGAGTTGACACTTCATCATGGGAGTTAACCGTTCGTCGCCGGAGTTAACCGTTCGTCACCGGAGTTAACCGTTCATCGGCGCAACCTGACCAAGCTCGGGGTTATCCTAGAGGATAGAATTTCAGAAAATGCTAGCAATTAATAAATAATAATTAGTAACTGCAGGTGGACCGCACCACACATAAATAAAATCCGCGGACACTACACAGACATTGCAAACAATAAACACGGAATCCATCAATAGACGACCGATGTGGTTAACTAAAGTCTCCAAATTTCAAGTTATCCTGGATTGCCGTCTCTTCCTACTTGGGAGCCACGTTGGCTAAGTGGGTAAGACCCTAGCTCGCTAGCCTGGAGGTCGCGTTTTCGATCCCTGCATTGGCCGAGAAAGTTCATCGGTATTTTTCTGCCGTGGTTACCCCTTGTCTCTGGTGTAGGAGGGAGGGCCTGATAAAGACAGCTGTATAGTCGTTCGGATGGTACGAAAAACCGAGGACCCGTGAATATATTGGCGTGCACGTAAACGATCCCCTGGCAGTTGGAATTCGATATAAGAGTAGGCCACAGTGCCGCTGCCTGGGCAAACTTTCCCTCGTAGCACACTGTATGGCGACGTATGACCGTCTTTACTATCCCAGTCGGAACAGAACAGGACGTAAAGCCCCATTTCATTTCATTTCATTTCTCTTCCTACTTGCCTGAGTGATTGCGCTCAGTGATCATCGCGATTATTACGTCACTTATACAACTGAACAATGGAATTCATTAATTGAATTACGTAACCCCATTAAATGAAATCTAACGATCATTTCCGAACCGATCAAACGTCTTGACAGGCTATTTGGGTTGTTTCTTAGACGTTATTTTTAAGAAATGTTATTTGGCTTGTACGATTCATTACGTTTACAGATAACATAGTATGTTTTAATTCCTCACGAAGTCTGACAAGGAACAATGTCTATTCGCTCGGATGGGATGAGAAACCTAGGTCCCGTGTACACGTTGTCGTTTACGAAAAAGAACACTTGAGAACTGGAATTGAAAATAAGAGTAGACCGTATTGGCCGCTTTCCGGGCAACATATCCCTGCACATAACACAGCACGGCATATGCCCGTCTTCTTAAGCCCAGGCGGTTCAGAAACACAGCACAGTAAACTATTCATTTCATTTCTTTAACTGGTTGACACTAACTTGATGAAAAACAAACTATTCGCAACCGAAAACATGAAACGATACACTCTATCACCAGGGCAGCTAGACAGGCCTATAAACCTACCGACTTCTTAATCAAATAGCCATCCATATAAGTACATGTATTGAATATTTAATCAAACGGAAATTATATTTCTATTTGAACTTTTTTTCAACAGCCGGATAAGATATTGATGCTCCTCGACGCCGAAAATACATACAGCTATTTATTATCTACAGCTATTGTGGTCTAAAGGGGGGTGGGGGTGGATGACTGAATGGTTAGCACGTGTGCGCTGTATCCTAAAGTCTGTCTTTGAGTCAACTGGCCTGGTTTCGATTCTCAGGTTGTACTTGACAAGGAGTAAGGTCGCCTGTCCAACCTCGTGGGTTTTCTCAGGGTGCTCCGGTTTCCTCCCACTGCTAAAGACCCCTACGCTCAAGCGATTTATGGAAATAAAAGTGAACCATATGTTAGTCCCGAAATGACCTAGTTTCTCTATCTTTCTCTTGTGATCTAAAGTAAACGGCAACAGCAAACAGTTTTTAAGACAAAGCGCGCACACCCATTCGTTTGTTAGTGCAATTAATTGTGATAGTAGTTCATACCCCTCCCCCACGTTCTTCACATCGGCTCACGTGACTCAAATAGATTTTAAATAATGTGTTATTTCCAAAATGATTTGGGTAGTGTCGAGACCCAAAGTTTAGAGGGTAATTTAACAAATACAATCAGTCTGAATAAAACAGGAGGCTGTGCTGTCCCTTGTCCCAATTCAGATAACAATCTGAATAAAATATTGTTTATAAATATTCATTTTTTAAAAAATGAATAGAACACAATTGGGTTTTGTTAGCAATGTACACATTCTAATAACAGATCAATTTGCATTAAATTATCCCCCAAAACGGAAAATCACCGACAATTTCTGTTTAAAAATAAAGATAATGAAGATTGTTTCAAGGAGTAATGTGAATTGTTTGGACAAGGTAAACACAATTTATGTAATTTGTCATAATAATTCAAATTGCATGGCAATCAAATGGACAATCGCCGACAATAAAAAGTATTAATTGATTAATATTTACAAAAGGATGATGTAGCACAAACAAAAAGAAAAACATAGAGACAAACAAACATAATGACAAACAAAGAAGCAAACAAACAAAATAAACCAAGATACAAACAAACAAAAAGATAAACAAAGATATAAACACGGTGATAAACAAACAAAAAAATGACAAACAAAAAAATAAACAAACAAACAAAAAGATAAACAAAGATACAGAAAAAAAACCTCGACAAAGACACAGACAAAATAGATAAACAAAGATAGAAACAAATACAAACTTGTACAGATCATAAAAAAACCCCAAATAACAATGGTTTGGTAGAATAGTGGAGAGGCTGCTCGGATATACCCATATTGATAAAGAGCAATGTGAATTGTTTAGAAAAGGGTAAAATATGATTAATGTACTTTTTTCATAAATCTCGTACAAAACGCGGTTAATGTGTTACAGTTCTTAGTTTCAGGATAAGTAAATATGATGATGGCCTCTTATTGTTGTGGCAAATGGAGTAAGCATGGCGTCGAGTCTAAAACTTGTGAGATGGAAAGAACGTAAAACAAACTATAAAGTTCGTCTGGTTCTAGAAATCCAACTCTTGAAGTATTCAGATATAATACCCGGGAATTATACGGTAGACATTGAACGATAAACACTTTCTGTAACAAAATCCATTATTCAACGTCCAAACTTACTATAAAACGTTATCAAACCTCGCTTTGATCACAATCTGATAGATATTACCCTTGACAACACAGGTCACGTGACTGCCTTAAAAGGCCATAGATTGATGGATATTGATGGGGTAGTGCAAAAATTAACCCCGGAGGTCGGATGCGGGCGACGAAACTTAAAAGCTTCTGGTTGGAAATCAGTCTAAAGGGAGCTATGATCGGCATTGCGTATCGCAACCACGCGAATTCATCTGTTTGTCATGTGAAGCCCGCCAGTCAACATCACTCAAACAACTTTAATTTTATATCAATTCGTTTCGCCATTTTTCCATTCGGCAATATGTCAGAAAATCAGTGATATTTACACTAGATATTCACAAAGACAAACTATAACATAATTTTTATCTGTATTCACTGGAGAGCCATATAACGTAGATAGCTTTTCCTATTTTGTTGTGTTTATCTATTTTAGTTTGTGTAATGTTCCATTTGTTCCATTTCATAAAGTTTATTGTGATTAAAAGCAGCGCATCTGTTTTAAAATATCGCCTGCAGATGATTAAAGTATCTTTCTAAAACGAAACAATCCATCTGAAACATATAACAACAATACAGAGAGATGGAGAGAGAGGGAGAGAGAGAGAGAGATGGGCAACAAATAAAACAAAAACAATCAGACAAGGTTTTCTTGACCAGAGTTACTCATCATTCATTTTAAGGTTTTAAAGTACAAAATAATTTACATCCGGGTTTAGCGTCAAACTCATTGTTTTAATATGAAATGAAATGAAATGGTGTTTAACATAGCTCTTTTCTGCTCCATACGGTCTAAAGAAGACGGGAAATGGGGTTTAGGGTCATACTTTTCTGATGAAAATGGGAAATGGAGTTTAACCATGTGGGCAAATTAAAACGGGAAATTTACGTAACTCTTTTCTGTTCCATCTGAGCTAATGAAACAAAATGAAATGGAGTTTAACGTCCTACTGGTCTGCACCG